GCTTGACTACCGTGACCGGCAAGTCTATGCGAAGGTAACGAGAAATTACTCCATTTCATAGCTTTGATATCATCGTAACATTATGTATTTACATAATATGTACATATGTACATAGAAGTATACAGCTACATTCTGTTTAACTTTAGAAGTGATTAATTGATTTACTTTGAAGATGACAAATTGTTCAGTATCCGGGATGTATCAGTTGGTGTAATGACTGCTACAGGCGGATAACCGTAGAACTTGGGTTCGAATCCCTGTATAGGCAAACGATTTTTGTCGTTTCCATAGCTTGAGACTCTCTTTCGCATGTTCCTATTGGCGCGTGACTATTAGACGGGTTTGGATAGGATGATTTGATTTATTGCACTTACACACTCAACTCGTGACTACAGGCAATACAGCGCTATCGCTGTTCTACACACTTTCCAGTTCACCGTTACACACGCACGGGGGTTCACAGTGTTCACTAGTCGTATCCTGGCAACGGATTTCACCACAGTAATTATATCAGTCTCACTGCAACTGTAGCACATATTGAGTCTATTTTTCAAGCCTAATTCCTTTCTTGCCATCTCTTCTCAATCATCTTCGACTGCTGTCTCAAGAGACTCCCTCTATTCTCTCTCAACCAGCCTGGAATCCTCGTTACATAGCTTCGGGGTGGATCCAGCGGAAAACACAGTTTTAATCGTTACACATCAACAGTACTTCGATTGTTGCTTACACATTCTTTGCTGCGGGAACCTGTTTACCAGCCGTTGCCTAGCAATGAACGTCTAGTCTAGCTCCGCTATTACGACTTTCAGGTGTCATGTAACAAGTTCTTTCAGAGGGCGTAAAACGGCCGGGGCTTGAAGCTGAACTCTATTGCCCATGTTAACAATTTACGCATCTCCCAAGACATCACCGAGTGACACTGTCCCCATCTTACCCAGAAGTCAGTGTTGCTAACAGTTTTCCAGTTCTCAGCATATACTTCAAGATAAACTTCTGCTCCATCCAGAGGCTATTAGCGTGCGCCATTGACCTGGGGAGGGGTGTATCGGGGGTATTGATCGGTAACCGCACGAATACATGATAAATTAGGGTACAGGGTTATCAGAGGAAGAAATCATTGGTTTGCTACGTTGAACATTTGCCGGAAGCGGTGATATATACACGTATACTATTATAAAGTTGACCAAACTGTGGCCAGTACGCCGCATACGGCTCTTATGTAACGCAAATGTTATGAGTACTATATTCTGGGATATAACGCCGTGTAGTCCCTTAAAAGCCTACCGACGTTTCGGAGGAAGCCACTTTCTTTCACGCTGGTACCTTACTTGCTTTATTCCTCCTTCGGAGGATCATGTCTCCTCCATATTCAGGATTGATAACGCGAGCAAAATACCAGCGTGAAAGCAGGTGCTTCCTCCGAAACGTCGGTTGACTTCCAACGGATTACACGGCGTTATATCTCAAAAGATTTTACTCTTCATAACTACCGCTGTGAGAACCTAAAATCCTACAAGTATTGTTAATTTATGTTATTTGAAAGATATACATTTCAGGACGCCTGGCGTTAATGCAAAAGAAGACAAAAGGTGCAATTTAATGGTGTGACTGATTTATGTGTAATTGGTGGTTCTTACATAGGTGACTGTGAAGAGACTTCCGAAATGTCTGGTATCCAGCTTTTCAGTAGAGTTCTCCATAAATTTTCAGGATAATATTCTTCTGTCCTGAAGACGGAGACAGCGCCTTCCTCCGAAATACTAGTAATAAGCTACCAGACCACGCGCCTTGATGTCCCAGAAGTCAGCAAAATTTCTAGTACTTAAATTTCGAAAGTAAATTTTAAAGGAAGACTATACTCTCTGCATATTGAGGCAGATCTTGAAGATACAGAAAGAGGAAAGCTATCCCTTTAACAGGCCGTGGAGGCCCATAGGGCTGTGAGACGTTGAGGCTCCCACATTTTCTCTAGACAATCGGCTCACAGTTGAAGGTGAGGCTGTCAGCCTTAGGCACCGTCCGCCCTTAGTACCCCAAGAAGATTCCTGGTACTCATTTCTGTTAGAGGTTGAGTCCACCCCAGGGCCATAGTGCGGCTGGAAGGATTAGGTCAATTGAAGAAGATACAGACAGCATATTTCTCCGAAACATAGTAACCACGTGCCCGACTACACTGTGTCATAAATCAGAAGTCCATAACACTGACGTCAAAATACGTGATGATTCAAAATTATTTACTGGATTTCCGTGGCCTGTAATTTTTATATCAGAGATAATAAAATAAAACTGCAAACTGAATATAAAAGTGTAATTAAAAAAAGTATTATTACTTATAGAAAAAAAGTCTTTGAATTATACTTTCATGTTCCGTAATCGTTTTTTTTCCGATTTGAAAATTATAGGCCAGGGAAATCCAGATAATAATTTTGAATTTATTTGTATTTTTTATTACATTCGAGATTACTTGAGGCTGACAGAACGGCTGTAAAACTGTTTCGGAATAAATTTTGGACATGAAGAGTGCGGTCTGATTAGATATGATACGGCGTACTCCGACAGAAATTCACCGACGTTTCAGAGGGCGACTGTATCAGTCTTGAGGTAGTCAGATATGTTGGGGATATAATGCGCAAGAAGGAAATAGGAAATGCGTCAACTGTCACGGGAGTAATGGCGTCACTTCCTATAGAATAGTACTCTTCAGAGCCACCGCTGTTAGAACCTCAGATCGAAGGAATTTGGACACCCTTATAAGGTTTCTCTCATGTGTCGGAACTATCCAGACGGAAGCAGAAACCGGGGGGTGGAACGGAGGAACTCATGGCAGGAACCTTCCGCATAACACAAGAATAATGACCACGTGATCACACTGAATTTATGATTTATGTCTGCGTTGTTTCTGTGGCAAAAACACTTAATGAGCGTTAACTAACTGCATGGAGCTGATTTACATCTAAGAAGCTAATATCCAATGCGCTGGTCAAGACATTTTTCGCCATTTATGAAACAGACGAGAGTTCATCACGGTACTGACAAAACCCCGTCACTGGACAGTACGAACAAAGTGCATAGCTTCATGTATTTTTCATTTCAAAGTGTTGTATCCTCTAGGACGGGTCATCCTGTAGTCCGACAGAATTCTACCGACGTTTCAGGGTTGAATAGCAAGTCTAACAAGAATCCGACGCCTTCGCTTGCTATGTACTTCTGACATCTTCAGGGCAAATGTCTTTGGGTGGTGTGGTCTGATGATCTGCTGCTGGTCTTCGCCAGTACAGTCATTTACTGATTCCTTCGGGACTAATCACCATATTTTGTTCCTCTTTGTCTTTCGTCGGGCATGGGATCTTATAAATCCCACTGTCGACGCTGTGACCGTACCATTCCACTCCGAAACCTTGAAGATGGCAACTACATTTTTTGTCGAAACGTTGGGGAACTTTATACGTGGGGTATTCCCGAATGCCGAAGTCATACACTACACCGCCGCCGCGCAAACATAGGGATGAATTGATTCCGTTTATAGTAGGCCTACTCTGTATGTAAATGAAGGCACACGGTAGCGTAGTTGGTTCAGACACTATGCTACAAGCCGGAAGGTCGTGGGTTGGATTCACGATGAAGTTATTGCATATTTCAGTTGATCTAATCCTTCCAGCCGCACCATGTCCCTGGGGTCGACTCAGCCTCTAACAGAAATGAGGACCAGGAATCTTCCTGTAGGTAAAGCACTGCTTGTGCGTAAGGCTGACAAACTTACCGCCATCTGTGAGCCGATTGTCCGGAAAATGTGGAAGCCTCGACCTCTCACAACCCTATGGTCCTCGACGGACTGTTACAGGGATAGGTCTGCTCTCTATTCTGTGTTTAAATAAATGTGGGATGCTCTGTGTTACGCGCTGAAGGATTTGCCACGGAAGTGAAAGGTTTGAAATGATATCCCGACATCATACGGAAAACACAATGTACTCGTAGGCGTTTTGAGTACTAATGGATCTGGCGAAGGCAGAATATGATTCAGTAGCTTTTCTATTCACCTTAGACGTGTTACTGAGATACTGATTCTGCTTCTGCCAAACGTTTCAGCAATGGAATGATTGAATGAGCTCCAGGTCCTATTACAGGGTGTACAACACACATTCTGCTAGCTCTCGTACCTGTAGCGACATACGAAACACCAATTCTTCCCGTCGTTTTGAATGTCCCTGAAGTACGATATCTTATTCTAAAGGAAGACCACTGATTAGAACTGCGTTTGTAGTGTTCTGGGCAGACCGACGTTTTGAAAGAACATGCTACCTCCAACACGACTTTTATGAAAGCCGAATATTCACTACCCGTCTTCACAAACGCCCGCTGTTACCCCCCATCCTGTCCAAAACCTCTTATTCTATTTCTCTAAGATGTATGAAAATACTATCATCCGATCGACGTCTAGGTCTTCGATGTGATCCATTTCTTTCGTATTTTATAATCAAAATCGTGTATGAATCTGTAATCATTCCCATACATGCTACATACTCCGCCTAACTTCATCGCGTTTGACTTCTTCATCCTTATGATAACTGTCGAGCAGTACAAATTACTACGCTCGTCGGTATGTAAACCTCTCCCATCTCCTGTCACGTCTTCTCTCTTAGTTCCAAATGCTGAACACTGTTCTCAGACACTTTAAATCTATGTTCGTTTCAGATGTATACAAAACAACAGGTAATATCAAGAATTCTATATTCTGCGGTGTTAATACAGTGTATTTTGACAGATTTGTATCAACGTTGCGGATGAACCTGCTGCCTTCATCTTTAGATAATAATTCAACCTTGAAGATAGAGGCAGCAGGTACCCTCGAAACATTGGTGCCCATCTATAAAACTACAGAACACCACGTCCAATAAGACTGATTATTCAGATTAATTTTATCCTTCATGCAGTTCATTCATTGCAGTTAACGGTCTCTTTCTTTCACGAGATGAGAGTTACAGTAGCAATATGAACCTTACCTTGAGTATAGCTGGTTGTGATGAACACGAGTAGCATGGATGTAACCGCCTGCCAATTCGGTAGCATTTTCACTTCGCTCGTGTTGCTGTTACGCTGTGAGAACTATAGCTGAGGAATCACGTAACATAATGTCTGAGTATCAGCACAACAGCACATCCGTGTCTGCAGACATCCACGCTTAATACATTATCTTATCTTGAAGCTTCTTCTTTAGGTACTAGAATCTGCCTTCCACGTGCTCCATGATCTAGCTGATCTACATCGCGCGTGAATCGGTGTGTCTACAGTTTTTAAGTATCCAAACCACAGTTTTAATATTTTGTACATATACTGAAATTACTACAATAAATTGTCACATATATTAGGCACGTTTTCATGTGAGTCCAAAATATTATTTACTAAAATTTATATTATCCTAGATGAAGTCCAGTTTTGTGTTAATATAATCTGTTTTCACGCCTCCTTATGATATGAAGTTATCTGAATCTATTAACACTAATGTAATAAATACTACACACGAATTAGATGCAGTACCTGACATCTCTACCATCAGTAAATTATTCTTGAAAAGATAATGTACGCGTGTGTGGATTTGTCTTCTTGTGTAACTAAGTATTATTACCTAATCAACACACAAAAACGATGCAAGTAAAATTCATTTTGCAGGTCACTTTTTGTTGTTGCACGGTCACACTTTTCCACTCTTAAACACAGAGGCGTTGCCACCTAGCCACACTTGCTATTGTCTTCATGAAGATGATGACGAGGGATTCTCTTTCCGCCCACTTCTCCACCAATAAACCTCGCTTAACTAATATTCAAGTCTTAACAGTATTTGTCTTTTCATTATGGTCAGGACTACTTTCAAAATATATAAACAGGTGGGCGTACATTAGCACCAAAATGGAAGCAAATTAGGTTATTGAATATGTGTAATGAATAGGTTAACCAAATCCGGTTTTTCTGTGGGGGGACCGCGAATGTCACGGAAGTGCGATCACTAAGCCAAGCTTTCTGCGTTGCAACTGACCGCGTGGCCCTTCAGTTCCGTGCGCTGTCCACAGGCAGACTGTTCCATGCGTTACGAACGCGCCCACCCCTCCCTTACTCGGTCCTACGGTGCGCCACTCCTACTGCAGCTCGCTACTGTCAGACCTCTGGCAGGGATTCTGTTGGGTTGTCGTGTCCCCTCTCTCCTGCGCGCGCGCCGCAGTTACGGGATACAGGCAGGGGAGAGACCCCAAGGTTGTTACGATGGATATGGGGTTGATTCCGGAGTAAAGGAATCTTGGAAGGAAACATACAAGCAAAAGGTAGGGAGTATGATGTAGGTAGAGGGAGGTTATGTAAGATTGTATGAAGAACTTCGGGGGGGGGGGTCATAGGTCAACTATTGACGGAAAGGGACATTGGTACGTTTTATACGCAGTTGCTGCAGTTAAGGCTGTATCTACGCGAATTTATTTTTGTTTGCCGGACTGCTGGCCAGAAGACTGTCCTGTGGAGATCCACAAGAACATTCTTAACGGCTTAAACGTAACCTCGCAAACAAATTTTGTGGCTACCCACACGCTTCTAATATGTCCCGGCGTAACTCAGGGCTACGTTAACACAAGGGACGGCCCTTCTGTCCCTCTTACGGTTGGTCAGGAAATACGCCGATCTCTAATCAATATATTGTCACAATTTAGTGGTGACTATAGACGGGATTTGAATTGGTGACTCGATTTATTGACCACTTACGGATCGTTAAAGTCAAGAAAATATAACAGTCTCACTGGTTTACACACGCTGTAACTGTAACTGTAGCACATATAACGTCTTCTATGTCTTCAGTTCGCGTTGCCTGGTAACGGATCATAACAATATTCTCTGCTTACGGCCTTACTTGTGGGTATCCCACAACTGACTCATTACTTCAACTAACTCTCAGGCTGGTGTCCATCTCACACGAACCTCCTACTCTTCTCTTCACTGAGTGGCTAACTGCAGCTCCCGACCTGTCCCGCTTATAACATCTCGACATGGACTTCACAGAAAACACCACTTCTCATTGTTTTAGTTCAACTGTTTGCCGTGGGAGCATGTTTTTTGCCAAGTTGTTGCTCAGTAACGGCCGTTGCATATTTGTTTATCTCGCGGTCGTTGCCCAGCAAAGGGTCTGCATGCTATAGTATTATTCAAGACAAAATTCCACACCTCTTGCCTGGTTTAATATCGTGTTACATGAAGATTTCGTGTCACCGCCTATTCACAATTGGATATAAATTGAGTCCAGTCTAGAAAACCGAAATTAACGGCCGTGAGGATTCGTTGCGCTTACCACGTGACATCCTCTATCCGCTAAAGTTGGCACTAATTTCGCCGACAAGCGACGGTCGCTCGGTCGGTATAGTTCGCTTGCGGACTGAAGCCACGGATATATTAGTATATAAATTGAGCAAATATGTTATCACTGGTTCTGGCGTCACAATCAAATGAGATATTAAGTTTATTATTGCAATACGGGGTGCAGCTGTCAGCAGCTAGACTATACAGCACCGATTGTCAAGATAATAAATGAATTCGAAATGATTTGGAAGGAACTGGTAGTGGCCTAATTAAAATAATATCCCGGCAATTTGCATGGACGAAACCCACAAAATGCCTCAGTCAGGATGTCCGGTGTCCATCACCAGGATCTAACCGGGTATATCCCGAATAAGAGTCTAGATTGTTACCTCTACACTAAACCAGCTCTGTGTATATATATATTTTTTCACTGGCTCTACATCCCCTTTGGGTCCTGCCCTCTGATTTTTAGTTTCATGATCTTTTTACAAACTGTAGGACTCCTTGAACGAGTGATCAGCTCGTCCTAAGGCCTGTACCTAAACACAGGACAACACAAACACAGAACGAACATATACACATACCAAACATCCATGCCTTGTATGGGATTCGAACCCACGATCCCGGCTTCCGAGCGAGCGAAGACAGTGCATGCCTTAGACTGCTCGGCTACAGTGACCGGCTCTGTGTGTGTATAGTAGGTACTCTCATGGATATCGTCCTGACAGTTTGAGGCTTAAATAAAATGAAGACAAAGAAATTCAGAACTCATGTCAAATCCATGATTATTATAAATTATTGTGGTCTCACCCTGGATGATGCTCTATATATTGTTGTATATTTCATTGGTAGAGCCAGAAAGGAAATTGGGAACCATCTATTTTAATAATGACAGAGCCTATATTAACACTGCTAAGAATGAGATGGGCAGGGCATGTAGCACGAGCGCTGGAGAAGAGGAAGCATATAGGATATTGGTGGAAAAGCCAGAAGGAAAGAGACCACTAGGAAGACCAAGACGTAGGTGGGCGGTCAATATTAAAATGGATCTTAGAGAGATAGGATGGGATAGTGTGGATTGGATTGATCTGGCTCAGAATAGGGACCAGTGGAGGGCTCTTGTGAATACGGAATCTTTGGGTTCCATAAAATGCTTGGAAGTTGAAGAACCTCGATAAAATCTCTTATCAGAATAAACAGTTTCCGAACCGAGAATTGAATCTGACGCCTCCCAGAAAACGGAATCGTATCCTCTCGACCTCGACGTTTGGTGAGTGGCTGCACAATTGGCGGCTTCTCAGGAAGGGCTCAGCTCCGTGAGCGAGTGAGTATTAACAGTGATGCCATCTGGAGTGTAAGCTGTGTAACCCGGTTGAAATTTACCAGAGGTTCGGAAGAACACACTGCCTCTACATGCTGAGCAAGCTTTCCTAGCATCCTTTCTAATCTGAACCTGGAGGTAACACTTTCTACCAAAACTTCGGTAAAATTATCCCAGAATTTAGGGCACTACGTCCCAGAAGATATTACCCTTTGCAGTAACCACTGTGAGAAATTCAGATCAAACTTTCATATTTTATTATCTACATCCGACGGATATACATGCAGTAATATTTTGTAGTCAATTCTAAACTCTATTGTCGCTTATAAGGGTTTAACGTGACTAATATCGACGGGTTGTGGATTTGATGATTAAGTTTATTTGCACTTCTTTACGATTACAGTTGATTATAACAGCTCCGATTGTAGCGGGAACGTCGTTCGTTGCGTAGGAAATCAACCAGTCAGCTTTCTGGCAGCACACCACAGTATACTCAGTAGTGGTGCTATGTTAGTTGTCCAATGAACGTATCTCATACATCTCACATTCTGCCACCTTTTGTTTTGTTGAAATCATCGTCACGTGCATATATTCTGGCAAATAAATTCTGTGTTCCACGCACATTGACACTTCTTGCATGACAAGGAAGGGACAAAAGTTGCCGACAAAGAATATAGCCCCCATATTAGACAGGAGAGCGGAACTGTTAAATATTTTCAACTCCCACCAGAAACCATGGGCGAAAAAACATCTGCTGATCTCATCTGCAGCGAGCGTAGTATTTATATAAGGCAGAGACTAGGGTTGAAAATATGGGGTAGGGGTCGGATTTCTCGTGTCATTCAGCTTACAGGACAACCTCTAATAGATTTCATGTTTCAATGCAAGGATAATAAAGAAAAGCTTACTAATAATTGTTGAAAAAACTGCGCGTTCCCCCATCAGACATCACGTTGACCCTCGAAGGACCGAAGAGAGGGAGATGGAGAATGACTGAGCGTAGTTAATTGCTGCTGGTCCTCGCCAGCACAGTCGTTATTAGTATCCGGATTCTTCTTCTTTTTAATACCAGTTGTGTGTTTGGAAATGGGGTCTCCTCTTCTGTACGAGATGAGCCGTGAAACTTCCGCCAAAATGACTGAATTTTTATAAGAAGTAAAACTAAGCTAAAGGAGAGTTGACGTTGACATGAAATGTTGCAACACTGTGCCCTTACGAAGAAATATTCGGGCAATGAAAGTATAGAATTTGCATTTATCATGAAGGTAACGTACCGAGGTTGTGAGACTCAGTACAGAGGCCCTTGTCCAGTCAGGAATTTCGGGGTCTCAATGGAGTATGGAGGTTATTGAATAAATTAACTTCGAGTCAAGAATTTCTGTCGGAGGGAAACCCGAACTTCAGAGCCAAGGGCTTAAAATGTTAGATGGGAATGCTGCCGTTACCAGCGAGAAGTACGTTAATTATGTGTATGAAAGAGACCAGTTACAGCAATAACGAAAACTGAAAACGAAGTAAGTAAAATTTCGATACGAAAAGCATTACCCATATCACTAAATACGATAGACCTTGACTAAGTTATCTTGGAAGCGGACTCCGTAGTCTAGGGGTAACGTTCCCACCTCATGACTCAAGGTACGCGGGTGGACTTTTAAAGGCGAAGAAATTCAGGGAACAAGTCCTCCGGGAGGGACTTTAAGCCATGGGTCCCATGTCGTAGATTTACGGCACGTAAGATCCTCACGTCTCTAGGAGACATCTGAGCAAAATTAGGCAAGTTTCCCGCCCAAGTAGTTTCCAATGCCTCTGGTAGATAGGGGAAGCATCGAGTACCGAGGGCCGACCTCGTTGGCTGAACGGGGCTAATAGCACGCACCTGTACCGGTAGGGTATGGCGACTGGTAGAATATCAAAGGGGGACGTACAATAGACTCTCAATCGCGGTGCATGGGGAAATCCACCCCCTCCAATAATAATAATATTAAATAATAAGTTATTTTGGAAGTTAAACGGATTTTTGTGCAGTCGGCTACTACTGGCCGGTCTGTGTCCCCGCGGTCTAAGGCATAAACTGCCCTCGGCCTCTCAATTCTGGGATCGTGGGTACGAATCCCGCTTGAAGCATTGATGTCTGTGTGAGTTTATTCTGTATTTGTGCTGTCCTGTGTGTAGGTAGCGGCCTCAGGAAGGGCTGATCCACCATCCAAGGAGTCCTACCGTCTCTCTATAGGATTAAGGAAGTGAAAAAGCAGGAAAGGTCCAACAAAAGGATTGCAGAGCTATAGATAGATAGGCTGCTATGGGCGCTAGTTATACAAGATGGATGTGTACACGTTGCGTATACATTTTATCCCTTAACAAATTATTGTCCTGAAGACACCTAAGCACTGATATTTTGAGTGACGGTCTCCATATGTGGCTGA